CTTTAGGATGCCTCCTGCATTAGCTGAAGTACATGAAAGACAACGAAGGATCATACAGACAATAGTGTGGTTTAGTCTTTCCCTCATTGTTTCTGTATTTGTTAAAGACATAGGATATGCTGTAGCCCTCATTGGGGGATTAGCTGCACTCTTTATCTTTTTCTTTCCAGGTAGGTTGTCAGAAATTAACCCTTAAAGCCCCAGTATCCACATACAAGTTCTCCAAACTGATCTCCATACATTTCCTTAAAGAATGAGTTGAGAGAATTTGACAAAAGATCAAGGCATTTTTTCTTGGGTGATCACTTTATTAATTCTTATAACTTATCTGTTGACAGTGTGTGGATATTGTTAGGAGAAAATTGATCTTGGTCACTACTGGCACTTAAAGGGTTAAGCCCCGTGCAAATGGACACAACATTGTTGGATGTTACATGTTGTGTCCATTTGCACATGCTGTTGTATGTTGTTGCATGTTGTTGGGAAGAAACTGGTCAAACATTTGAGCGATTGATTCCCAACATTTCAATAAATTTAATATTATTATTGCACATTTCATGTATACATATGGTTGACAAAGTCTTATGGGTTGTATCCTTCCCGTGGTGCACTGCAGGTCACAACATTGTTTGGTTACTTTCGTAGGACACAAGAGGAAAATAGAGCCAAAAGGTCCTCCTAGTTGTTGAAACCTTACCTAACTGAAAATGTTTCTGACAAACCTGCTTACGAGATCCCATGAAATTTTTCAACTCCCTTGTAAAAAGAAATTTTATTAGTTCCATCTTTATAACCATACATACATGAAATTGCCCATGAAATTACTCATGAATTTCTTTCACTCAGACTGCAAGCCACACTGTATGTAGCTAGCAATCTTTTCTTAATACTATGACACAATGTTATTTGCAGTAGTAACAAGCTAAATCTGGTAAATTTGATACCAACAAGTACGCCACTGAAAATATTTCTTCTAACGATCACACAACCATGCTAATGCAAAGAATTTGTTGCCATCTATTTGATATTTGATGTAATAACAAGTTGATGAAAATTTGTTCCTATTTATATTCACAACTAAGAGACGGGAATGGGTCTGCAGCTTGAACTGTGGAGCCTGAGTGTTTGATGCCGTCCAAATAACATACAAAGTTCAACATCATAACTAAAGAATGGTATACAAATATTCCTAAATAAAGTCACTTGAGGCTGAACTATTCACGTGCGCCACCTGATACGAAAACCCGAAAACCCAATGGGAAAAAATTGGGAAGGTATTTCCTAACCAATGCAGTCGCACAACCTCTGGGGGTTAAAGGAAAAAATCAATCGATAGATGAATAAAGTAAGATATAAAAATAAAAGTTGATAGTTCAAGAGCTAAGATGAATACATTACAACAGTCAAAACCTTATATACCTAACAACAATAGAGTAAATTAATGTCATAGTGGCTCACGTGTGTTCATACCAATAGGAAAGTATTTACATTCTCTGTTACTGCCACTACATTTAGCTCCGCCGAATTTAAATACATTTCCTAGGAGCATTCACCTGAAAATTAAACTCCTGCATTTTTGTTATTCCTAGGAATCTGTCTTGTGCAGGAGATGCTCCAATATCCTGTTCTGTCCACCACCAAGAAGCTCCTGATAGCCCTTGGTCTTTTCTACGTGGTCTTGGGAGTGTTCATATTTGCTGACTCTGAAGTTTTCGCAATAATGAAGGATATCACAGGAAAAGGGTTGTACTGAATCTGATCATGAGAGGGATTGTAAGAACAGACTGTTACAGCATTCTCAACTGTACTCTAGTCCACTGACAGATAACTGGGTTTTTCATGAGTTTTATGTGACACGTCCAGCCTGGCACCTACTCGGGTATGCTGAGCCTGATCTCTACATTGCCAGTGTCAGCGATGTTAAGCGACGAAGACCTAATGCTGATAAAACTTTAATTTCTTTAGTAACCTCTTCTTTGATAATTAGCCTTCCTATTTTTTGACAAAGTGTTGAGCACTAATTCTCTTTTCCTTGTGAATAGGATATTGTACATGTACATCTTAGCTTTTTAAAATATGTAATAATAATATTACATATTTTAAAAAGCTAAGATGTACAATTAGCGATCAGAATGACCATGTCCATTGAGCTACTGCTATTGAAGGTTCAGGTTATATCCTACTGGTTCAGAATCATGGTTCCATTACTGTATAAATATTTTTTTTGTGGCATCCGAGTAGAGTTACACGATCTAGAATTCGAGTTATTGGGGTAAATTTCAGTGAATTTTTGTTAGGGAAAGGATCGAAATTAGTTTGAGTTAGCGGGAAGTTCGAGTTATTCGAGTTTGAGTTATCGGGGTTCTACTGTATTAGAAATTCTGCTGTAGGCCTTAAATAACATTACATACCAGTGCAGTGTACATCACACCATGTAACGTAATACAGATTCCAGAATCCAGAAAATTTCGTTTGTGGGATCCGGAATCCCTCTGCTTTAGAATCTGGGATTCTGCTCAAGGAATCCAGAATCCAAGTTCCACTGACAAGGACACAAATCCAGAATACAGTACCTCAGAATCCATAGCATGGAGTTCTGAATTCAAGCCTGTCTTGGATTGCCTTAAACAAAAATTAATGATTATCATGTAAATTGTATGGATAAGGGTTGGGGAAATAATGAATTATTAATTATGGAATCGATATCAAGACTTAAACCTTTGACTCAACATTACTTTGACAGTACTGTTATTGGGGCTCTTTTGAATAATTATGTTATTTATTTATTTTGGGGACTATACAACTGTACACAACCACAGATCAAAACAAAGGGATTACTAGTCAGCGTTTCAGGTCACGTATATTATAAACTGTAATAATGAATCAGATAAATCTGTTATTCTATGCATTTTGTACTCTCAACTGAATTTATCAATGTAGCTGCTAAGAGTTTCAAGGGTGAGTGAGTTAAGTATTAGTTAGGGGCCAACCATTTAACTTTTGAGAGGTACTGTAGGGGCGAGGTGAGTGTTTACTATAGGCAATTTTTTTTTTCACGTCCAAATATAACACCATTAGCTTATTGTTTGACTTGTTTTCGTTCCAGGTCTCAGAATATATTTTTAAAAAATCACCCAACCCCTACTCTGGATCCAGAGGTCCATTCTCTGAATACCTAAGGAGTATAACCATGAACTATCAGGAATGAGGCAAGGAAAAATAAATCTGTCGCACCAGCTTAGTGAGAGTACCCATCCCCACCCCCTCAAAGTTAAATGGTCAGTTTTTCAGAATGTGGCCTGTTAGTGACAAAATGTCCTTAGTTATCTTAAAAAAATTATCTTTGCTTAATTAGGCTTCAAGGTCAAGAAAATAATAGAAAATTATAGGGAATCGTGACCAAAAATAAAGTCTTGATTTGTAAAGAAATTAGTGCCATAAGAAATTATAAGAAAAAGACATTATTTCTGTATCAGTAATACATGTTACATGCTTTTCCCCTGGAAGGAGTTGAAAGTTGTGACGGGCAGGTGATGTCTGACAAGCTTTACTTTTAAAAGGAAGTAACATGACCTAGCAGACTTAAAAGTTTTTGTCAGGGATAGGAGGACATAAAAACCATTGGAAATGTGTGGTGGATCTTCTCTAGAATGCATCAAATGATTGTTTTGTGGGAAGAAAACTTCTGATTTCTCAAATCCTCACTTTGTTGCAACTCCTTATGATAATTATTTCAACCCAAACTGATGTCAGTTCAACAAAACTTCAGCCGGCATGATTTACAAGTGTGGCTATTATTTTTTTCCGGTCTCTAAAACAATGGCCAAACTTGTGATTTTTAATTAAGTTTTATTGAATTAACCCGTTTCCATTTCCAAGTCAAACTCTGTAATTTTACACCCAATATAATCAATGTTGTTATGAAACTCTCAATGAATCAACTATTTTTTTCCTCTGAGGTTCCAAAAATCAGAATTCTGCTTTACTTACCAAACGATAGTTGCACATTTTTTTTATTTTAACATAATGACTAATTGAAGCTCATGTGGAAAATATAAGATTCAAGGAATATTTCACTACAACCTAGAATTTTGATAGCAACAATTTTTGGGACTAAGACAGACACAAATAAATAAAGCAATACAAAATTTAAGAAAAATGCACAAATGCCGATGTGGCAAAGTATTTTTATACCTTGAGTGATAATGAAAAAGTAAATTAATCACTTTGAATTGTTTGTTTTAATAAAGACACAATATTGATGAAACCTCTGTAGTATGAGTTTTTTTTGTATGGGTATTTTTTTGACAAATTTTTTTTTTTTTTTTTTTGGACAAATGTATTTAAAATACTTAAGTACCGTATTTATTCGAATAAGCACCCAACCTTGAATTAGCACCCACCTCGAATACGCGCCCATTCTAAAGGCAGAAAAAGTTAATAAGCGCCCACCCCCCTCCTCCTCCCAATCAAACTCAAATAAGTGCTCACCCCCACCCCACCCACTTGAGTGAGTAAATTCTAATAAGAGACTTCCCCGACTACGGAGTTTTCTTCAAAGTATTTTACAGAAATCTTGCTTTGTTACTTCCTCGAGTTTTGTTATTAGCATTTCTTGTTTTGTTGCAAAATAAACATACTTCACTTGCTGAAAATGGTGAAAATTTAATAAGCGCACAGCCTCGAATAAGCGCCCACCTCAAATAAGCGCCCACCCTCAAGGTCCAAAAATTTATTAAGCGCCCAGGGCGGTTAATCGAATAAATACGGTATATGATGTTAATTCAGGGTCGTCGCTGCAAGTGCCTTCTCTCCCCTTCCTGCATTCACCTCACACTCTATAAAAAATAACCAAAAAAACTAGCAGGCGCCTGCCATACATGCAGAACTAGCAAAACACCATAGGTGTCTAACCTTGAATACCATAATCCTCCACCTGTGCAGATTTAGTATTGATTTAGTATTTATTTCAGATACACCAAAGTATTTATTTTTTTGCCAAGCTATTTTAACCCCCTCAAACCCATGCGCAGCAGGGCTCAACTTTTCGACAACTCTATATTCTGAACAGGTCTCTGAGGTGGAATCGGAGGTAATTATTACAAACAATAACCCACTGTTCCACTGAATTGGCAAAAACAGGGGCAAAAATAATGACCTGCTGGTCATAAAACAATAATGCCCTCACTCCTTGGCCCTCTATTACTTATTAATAATGTTTTGCATAATAAAAAATTATTTAGGTCATTCTGTCACATTAAGAAGTAAAAGCTTGGAAGTAGCCCTCTAAACATAATTCAAAATGCATTTGAACCTGAAGAGGCCACCTATTAAGCAGTCACCCTCTATTAAGCGGCTAGTAATCAAAGTCCCAAAGTAATAAAAAATTGTAGGAAAGGACGGGAAATTAAACCTCTCTTTCAGCTGTTTAGGAAAACACACAACCTGCATTGTCAAAAACAGGATTTTGAGTTTTTTTTCCGATGTCAATCAAACCATTACCATGGCATCCAATCCTTGCCTGTCAAATAAAGATAGCAATAATGAGCAGAAGCTGCAAAATTAAATCTTGGTGGGAACAAACTGATTTGTTTTCATTTTCCCATATCTGTGTTTCTTCTGGATTTGGAAGCTCTATAGGAACAATTTCACAAAGGGAATGTAAACTTGCCATGTTTCAGTAAGAAGGTAAAAAAACTTGAGAGCTAGCTAAAATGTGAAAACACGCGAGAGCTGAAGTTCAAAAGTAATGAACCTTGAAACAAAGAGAGACACAAAACGGATCAAAATCCACCAATCACAATGGCCTTTTGGACCAGTTGGAGTAAACTGTTTCCTTAGAGGTCTGCTAAGATGATTGACAGCAGGGAAAAACACAAGTACTGTAAAGGTGCAGAAAGCACCAAGCCTTCAGATTTTGATTTATGTAGCAGAAAAATCCAAAGACGTTTTTGACATCGCAGGTCGTGTGTTATTCGAAACAGCTGTAAGAACTCATGGCCACCTTTTGACTATCCCAATGAGAGTACTCCCATTGTTGTCACCTCTTAAGCAGTCATCAAGCTTTTGATACACTTATTTTGCCTTAATTTTAAGAATATGATGAAGGAAAATACAGTCTGAGAGACAAGGTGAGCATGACAACCGATTGAGCAGTAGTCATCCTGCTCCTGTTACGTATTTGTTTCAAAATAAAGCGATGTTTGTGCTAAAGATTATGCAAATTTTTAAGGAACCTCTATTGAGTGGCCCAAAGGTTGCTGCTTAATGGAGGTTCAACCTACTGTACTATGTTTAGTTGCTGGTAAATCATTCAGATCATTCTCTTGTATGAATCAAGCCCATGATGGCCATAAGACAGTGATAACATTTCAACACCCAGAAATTTCTAAGATCACAAGAAGAACCCCTATAACAGGAGCGTAGCGTGAAACTTTGAAGGAGTAAGCATGGGAAGAAAAGTAAGACTGCCGAAAGTGCTCCAAAAAGGGGGTCTGGGGGCAAGCTCCTTTGGAAAACTTTTTAACTTTAAGGGGCTTGAAAATGTCATTTCCTGAGTTTTCCACAGGACATTTTCATTACTAGAAATAAATAGGAAGGAAAATGGAAGTTAGTTGTTTGTTTTACCCATCTCTAGCGTTATCGGTAAGGTAAAGTTAGCTGACTGTGTAAACGGAGAAAAAGGATAAAAAGTGGCACCATCAACGAGGTTACAAGCAAAGGGCAAGACATCTACCCTTAAGACGGGCAAAAACACCAATATGATGCAAAAAATTTACCAGCCATCCCAATAAAATGATAAAAATGCTCTCAGGAGACAAAAAGAATACTTTTCCAGATATCAGTTGTATGCACTGCCGTAGGTGTGTATATAGATGTTATGCTCCTGTATAGGCAAAAAGTGTTCTTTAAAATTCCTAAAGCCCTCTTTACCTATCTTTAAGATGCACTAAGAACAAATTTATTACTTTCAATAACACATACAGCTGGGCTTGAACAAACAACTCCCAAATTTTGCTTGCCCAGGGGATGCCCAGGGCAGTTGCATGCTAGCCTGCATGCAGATGTTTTCAAATTCCTTTGTTGCAAGTTCGTTTTTCATTTGTATCAAAGGGAATAGAAGACATTTGCACACAGTCTGGTTAGATGCTTGTCTTTTTCATTATTTATGCCACATTGTAGAAGATAACTTCCCTAAACTATTATTGTGAACAACAGGAAAATCCACCTGTTCAGTACATCCAAGCTTTTTTGAGCCCTGGGGCCCATTTCTCAAAAGTCCCATAACATTTTGTGACTTTTGAGAAACAGTACCCAGGTTATACTTCTTGTACTGATGCAGTGCAGCACAATGGGCTAGGCATGCATTCTAACTTGATAAAGTGACTGCACATTGTATTTAAGTGTCTTCCTCTCATACATTACTACATTATTTTGATAAATAAATTTTAATGCATACCACATTCTTTCTATCTGGAGTGATTTGACTAAGGAGTGAAGTAATTGCTGACAAATGGTGGTGATTTTCAAGATAAGGCCTTGATGTATCACTTGCATTGCAAGAATATCTCCTAAATAGCGTGCATCCATAAAAAGGGCTTCCACTGCTCATAAAGTAAAGGGACCAGCCTATATTCCTATATCACTGGGTCACTTTGTAAACTATGCTAACTGTAGCAACTACTAAAATCATTCACACCACTTTTAACATCTTTACAATGTCATTGTTGTTCATATCAGGTGAGTTTCCACTTTATTTCAGCACACACTTTTATAAAACTGTGGCATTCCCCTGAGTCTTAATGAAGTGGAGTAAAAAACCATGGGATATGAAGGCTTTTGGGCTACACCACTGACAAAAATCATTCAAGCACAGATCTTTTGCGTTTTTTGTGGTTTACCACAGTGTCTGAAGTTGTAAGTTTTGAAGTGTTGCCAGCTTCCCACTGAAGAAATTCACGTATGCCCTTACGGCCAGCAGAGAAAACTTGCCTTTCAATATGATCAAGTTTCCCTGTGAGGAGTGATGCATCTTCATTTGCAGCATTTTGAGATGAATCCATGATTTTTCTAAACCTCTTGATAAAAGTCTGTTAGAATCGAGAAAAAAAAGTTTTCACATTAAAATTATAATAAATAAAAATATTAACTTTTGCTACAAATATGGTAAAGAACTGGGTCATAAAAGAGACAAAAATGTATTACAATGTAACTCTTCACATAATTGATGGAGTAGGCCAAAACACAAGGAAATTTGGAATGAGAGTATACGAACTATTCTAAAGGTATGCTCCCTTTTTTCAATTACAAGCTGTTAATTGTTAGCTTCTCCAAGCTACAGCTATGCCTCAGAGGATTGACTGGGAAAACAGACAAAGTTAAAATTAGGGACTCTAAGATTCAACGACGCAACAGCAACAAGAACATCACTTAAAAAGTGAATTTGCATTCTTTCAGTCTTCACCACAATTATTCCTACCCACTTACTTTGTCAAATGTATACAAACCCTACTGGAGTTGAATTCCTAGGGACCATATCCAAGTTCAGAAAGAGAAATAACATTTCATTGTTGCTTGTTTACATACTCCATAAAACATTTTTAAAGCATTTTCACACCGTAGTCTACTCGGCCATGATCAGCAAACTGTTAACCCTTTAATGCCTTGAGCCCCAAGAGTGACCAAAATCAGTTTTATTCAAGTAATATCTATACAAAATCACTAAGGCAAAAGGTTTTCACATTCTTTCAGCTAATTCCTTAACGAAATGCATCAAGATCAGTGTGAAGAATTTGCATGTCGTGGATATTTGGACTTGAAAGGTCAATTACTGAGTATAACTATTTATTTCATAAGTACTGAGATTTATCCACACAGATGGCAGTGATGAAAAAATCATTCTGTTTTTAGTCGCAGCCAATCAGCGACTCGAACGATGAAATTTCATGAGTGAAAAATCATTGTTCGCGTCGTCTGATTGGACGAACAATGTTTGTCACTAGTGAAAAGTGATCGTACGGCAAGCCACGTCATCCTTGGCACGAAAACTGGTAAGCTGCCTTTTTATTTTCAAGATGTCGGAAAGGTTTGTAGACGTCGGTTCAGTTGACAATTTTATTGCAGAACAAGAAAACAAAGCCACATTACAAAAAACATGACGAGATGTAAAACTTTTGCAAATCTTTTTAGGAACCAGGAATGAACTTAGAAAAGTTGAAGAAATTCCAGCATTGGAGTTCAACGAATACATCAGCGAGTTTATCATTTCGGTCACAACCATAGATGGGAAAGACTATGAGCCTTCTTCGCTCCGAAGTCTATTGGCAAGTTTTGAACGACATCTAAAAAAGAACAGCTACTCTGCCAGTGTCATGAATGACCTCCTATTTGAGAAAACAAGAAAAGTCCTCCTGTCCAAACAGAAAGAGTTAAAGACGAAAGGAAAAGGAAACAGGCCAAACGCTTCGATAGCAGTGACAGTGAAGGACTGTGACGATGAATCAAAACATTGCTATGATATGAATATGTTTATAACACTAGCTTTAAAATTTCCTCTTTTCCCTTTGCTGAAATTTTGAAAAGAAAATGTTGAAGTTTTTACACTTTCGAGTGAATAAAACTCATTTCATTGTCTAGAAATTTTGAAAAGATGTTGAATTTTTAAAGTGCTTATGAGTAAATAAAACTCATTTCATTGTCTTATCGCTGTTAATTGTCATTATTGTTTGAAAGAAATCTCAGTACTTACAAAATAAACAAATAACTTTATGGTTGGTTCGCTTGTACGATTTTTATTCACTTGTTGTGAGTAAAAATCATACGCACTCACCAACCATGAAGTAATCTCTATAACCTATATACAGTTGACTCCTGATAACTTGAACACTCGCTAACTCAAACCTCGCACTAACTCAAACCAAAGTCGATTTCCCCTGGATTTCCTTCGTACATTTACCATAATTTTCCCCTCGGTAACTCGAACGTTCCACTGACTCAGGAGTTACCCTCACAGGAAAAAAAGTATCTGTAAAAGTATATAACTGGGTAGGGGTTTGAACCATGACAGTACAAGAGTGAGTACCCCTTTACCCCCACCCGTGACTAGCATGGGTTCCATTCAGCATGGCAGACTCCTGTAGCGATAAGGGTGATTGTAAGAGGTACCAAGATCTTCCGCACAATACCCCCACTAGCGTTATACCCTAGCGTTACCAATGTTACTTCCTATATGGATCCCCCCTCCAAATCCCTAGCTCTCAGTGCCTACCTCTTGCATACATGAAGCCATTTGAGAATTTTCTTCAAAATCAAAATGCAAAAGTTTTGTTCCAAACTCGTAGAAATATGGCCCTAGTCTATGCAGATCTACGACACTTGCATCTGCTTTGAAAATTTCTCTATACCCGTCCTTGTAAGCTTTAGGAATATCCACTGAAACGATCTTTCTTCGTCGGTTACAAAGCTCTTTTGCTAGCCAGAGAGGTAGTTCGAGTTTTGCTCCAGATTGCAAATCATTTCCTTCCGAGCTGGGATCCAAGAAGCCAAGGTTGTAAATCTGCACTTCTAGTTTAGCAGGAACTCTTCCTTGTGTGGCTATAATGTCATCGAGATCAAAATAATCAAGCTCAGAAGTTGGATGAGGTCGAAGAGCAGCGCCACTGGCAGCCATATTGAATCCTTAAACTCTCCTCAATGTACTCTCTTTGACAGCTTGACATGGAAATAAGCTTTGAATTGAAGATTTAGGAGTTACTTAACCAGTCAAATAGCTCCTCCAGAGGAGTCAATGATGACATCGAAAGGAGAAAAGCAGTAAAAAATTCTCAGAAACTTTTCAGAGAATCTTTTGGGCGCCAAAATATTTTTACTAGTGCCAGTCTGTAACGGTACAAATTACCCAGCATTCAATGCTGATTCTTTCTTTCTTTTCCACGTTTGTCTTTGGAGGAAGCATCGCATTTCGTCTTTTTTGGAAGAAATATGGATACTTTCACCAACATAAAAAACATCTTGGTTAAATTCTACGATGAATACACGCAGACGACCCCAAAGAAGCTCAAGATAGTGGATGCATATCTGTTTTATATCATGTTAACGGGAATTATCCAGTTCGTGTATTGTTGTCTTGTTGGGACCTTTCCATTCAACTCATTCTTGTCCGGGTTCATCTCGTGTGTTGGATCTTTTGTCTTAGGAGGTAACGATTATTGAGTATTAATATTTTCTTTGTACTTTCTTTCCCTACCGCGCGTTTAGAAAATCTGAGCGTTGTAACCTGAGCGTGTGACACGTAGATCGTGAAAGTCGAGACACCTGGTGTGTGCTTAAATGAAATGTAATACGAAGCTGTTAAAAAAGGGCAAAAATATATTGATTTTATCGTCATCTTAAACTAATAGATAAAAGTGATTTCAATGTAAGATTAAGTATTGAAAATGACTAGAAAATTAGGTGCCCAAAATTTCATTTGTAGCTTAGCATTTACAAAGGAAATATCCTTGAGAATTGATTATGAAAATCTGAGGCATCCTAAGAGAGTATGGACTTGTGATTATAAAGGGCTTATATGAAAAAAATATCAAACAATTAACAGAAATTGAAACAATAAGCTTTAGAAACAATGGTCTTTATCTTTACGTGAAGACATCTTGTCTTGATTTGACCACTCNTCGCATTTCGTCTTTTTTGGAAGAAATATGGATACTTTCACCAACATAAAAAACATCTTGGTTAAATTCTACGATGAATACACGCAGACGACCCCAAAGAAGCTCAAGATAGTGGATGCATATCTGTTTTATATCATGTTAACGGGAATTATCCAGTTCGTGTATTGTTGTCTTGTTGGGACCTTTCCATTCAACTCATTCTTGTCCGGGTTCATCTCGTGTGTTGGATCTTTTGTCTTAGGAGGTAACGATTATTGAGTATTAATATTTTCTTTGTACTTTCTTTCCCTACCGCGCGTTTAGAAAATCTGAGCGTTGTAACCTGAGCGTGTGACACGTAGATCGTGAAAGTCGAGACACCTGGTGTGTGCTTAAATGAAATGTAATACGAAGCTGTTAAAAAAGGGCAAAAATATATTGATTTTATCGTCATCTTAAACTAATAGATAAAAGTGATTTCAATGTAAGATTAAGTATTGAAAATGACTAGAAAATTAGGTGCCCAAAATTTCATTTGTAGCTTAGCATTTACAAAGGAAATATCCTTGAGAATTGATTATGAAAATCTGAGGCATCCTAAGAGAGTATGGACTTGTGATTATAAAGGGCTTATATGAAAAAAATATCAAACAATTAACAGAAATTGAAACAATAAGCTTTAGAAACAATGGTCTTTATCTTTACGTGAAGACATCTTGTCTTGATTTGACCACTCCGCTGATTCCCTGCCTTTTGATGCTTGAAGTGATACTGTACTTATTTACTTTGTACATGTAGGAAAGTTATTTTGTTTTTTTGGCTGAACTCTGGGATCTGGGGTGAGTAGGCTTTGCTCGTATATGTACTTAGTTACTTTCTGTATTCAAAGTTGTTGTGGTTTTTTATTTCAGTTTGTCTTCGAGTGCAGTCCAACCCTGCAAACCTTTCAGATTTCAAGGGTATTTCACCAGAGAGAGCATTTGCTGATTTTATCTTCGCTAGTGTCATCCTTCATCTAGTTGTGATGAATTTCATCGGCTGAAGAAACCAAAGTGGATTACAAACTGTTAATATTGTTTTAGCAGATAAGAAAGAACTTGTAGACTTTTTAACAATTACTGTCACATGGTATTCAGAATATCTAGAATTAAGTGGGATCCATGTTTGTATTAAATACCCAGTTTTCCTTAAACAGGTTGTACGCTCAGTTGTTAGCACTTTCCTGTGGGGTATTGCACCTCAGAATCTCCAAAAAAAATCCAAGGAAAATCTTCTTTCCACTACCCACCTTCACTCCATTTAATCTAATCCTTTGATCCTACAAGCTTTTCCTTTTTTCCCTGGAATAAAGCCCCCTAACCCTAAATGCACAGCAAAAGAGAAAATAATGGGCAAGAAAAACAAGAGGAGAGGATAGAAAACAAAAAGCTGAAGCGAGCAACTTCCATGCGCTCGTGTCATGGCATTTTCACGGACCAGTTTATTTTAAGAACAGTTTTGGCGCCAAATTTGAATATCTTTTAAATTCCACAAACCAGTCAGCAAAACCTACAGACCTGAAAATGATGTTTTTTGTCTTTTAATAAATGTTTAGTTTTCGTTTTTGATATCTTATACTTCAAATGCGCTCACAGAAATGGTCAGGTGGAGATTCTAAAATGTGGAAAAAATGAACTGGTCCATAAAAACGCCTTGACATAGGCTTAGTATGGATGTTGCTTGCGCCAGGTTATGGGCTCTTGCGAAAACTCTGAAGCTGATAATTTGTATCTGGAGCTAAAGTCCTTTAACTGCTTGGCTCAAAAACGGTGTTTTAGGCAGTTTTGCCTCTATAGCCAGACTATTGACCACAACTATGGATCAACTGGCTTCAAAACACTGTTTTCTTTTTCTTTCTTATTTTAGAGAGACGTGGGGGGGGGGGGGATTTTACGGGGGCGAATGGGTTCTTCACACTTTTTCTAAATGCAAAAAAATGCGTTTTGAAAAATTACTTTGGTAGTTATAGAAAGATCCCTTAAGGGTCGTTCCCAATCCCTACTCCCTCTTTATTGGAAGCGTAAATAATGGTCGCTAGGGGTGCTGGGAAGAATGAAGCAACAGTAGCTGAGAACAGTCTCCGCAGTGGGAAAAAGAAAATGGCGAAAAACTTCCCCCACTCCACCACTCAACTCCTTTCGCTCACGGTCATGTGATAACCAAATTTTCTGGGATGGGTAGATTTACTTAGCTATGGGGCTCCGCCCACGCGCGCATGCTTCGCGCACGCGTGGAGCTCCGCTTGTAATTGTATATCGCTGAAGCAAGGACTGACTTTCACTGGGAAAGCCCCCCCTCCCCCCCCCCTTTGATGCCAACAGTATAACTAAGGTAACCACAAGTCCAAAGATATAAAAACAAGCATTTTTCTTTATTTACAAATATATATTTACAGTTCTGAATGTCTCACGAACGTCAATTAACATAGAAACGTCCTTTTTGCAAAACGTTAAATATCCCCAGTAGTCTGGTGATTGCTACCATTTTTGTAATCTTCCGCAAAAATTAGCCTTCCTTCTTCTAGGTTGTTTTGGTCGCCATGGTTTCGGTTGAGAGGCTCTTTCACGCGCAAGTTCTTCTTGACGTAATCGTTCACGTTCCTCCTCCAACTTACGTTGCTGATTTTCACGATACAATCTGTGAGATATAAAAACAAACCACTTTCGTTAGAGTATAACTCTCTTGGTTTAGCAAGAGAGAATATAGCGTCTTTCTACTCCATTGGTATAGTCAATTACGCTCAAATGAGTGTCGATCAGGGCTGGAATTGAATAGGTGTTTCTTGATGTCGCGGAAGTTTTTGTTGGTTAGTAGTTTCAGTTGTGGTGTGTGTCAAGAAGTGTTGGTATTGTTGATTGTATTAGACCCCTTCTTTAGGTTTTAGTTGGGAGACTACATATCACATATGCAACTGCACAAAGAGATCGAGAGTGCAGACATAAATGCTTAGAAAACCCAACTAACGGACCAGAGGCCAAACACTAAAGGGCGTGCTTGAACTGCCGGAAACAATGGCGGTCTTCCCTCACTGCCTGGCAACCTCTTCTTGCACAAAAACCTAGCCTTATACCCGCCATAAAAAAAGACAGTGTTGGACCATTGTCACAGTCTACATGGACTTATGTAACAATTCTACCTTATTTCCTCTTTGGTACTGAATTTTTCATTGCGGCATTTTGCGAACAAAAGCCTCATAGTTACAAACAAATTCATATACAGAAAGTCTCGAACAACTACGGCCCGTAGCCTTTAGTTTTATAAAGCTTCCATTTAATTGGCTATAGTGCGACCTTTACTAAAAGGGAAAGTAGAAATTTGGTGTGGTATTATAGATATGAATTAAAGCTTAGCCGGCATCTGTGCGGCAGACAGTGAAACTCATGATGTGTTCTCTTACCTCCATTTTCGAATTAACATTCGAATCAACCGGGTGATGATATTAAAAATGTAGGGAACGGCGAGGTACAAAGCCGTGCAGCAATAATCAGTCACCAAGATAATGGTCATCACATCAAACGTGTCCTGCCAGGTCCAGTGTAACATTGTGGTTACAACTCTCGTCAAATACACTAGAAAGAGGTTGAGCGATAGTAAGAAATTTTTAATAAACACGCACAATCAATAAAACACATGCACGGTACAATAACGAACAACAGGTTTAAAAAATTAATTTACAAACTGTGCGGTCTGTTCACTTCCTTCTCCTCCCACAGTAGCTCCGTGAGTTGCAAAAGTTAGTTTTATCGAGAGAAGTCAAGAAACACATTTCGAGAATCAAACCTTTTTATCGGCGACAATAATCTTGATTATCTTATTGTCAATTTTTTTTTCGTGTTAAGCATCGTATCGTTATCTCAAAAATGTTTCCACTGTTAAATAACAACTTTCAGAAGCATCTTATTCTAAAGTATGAACGAAAATAGCTTCGTGATTAAGCAGCAAACAAACAAATACACAAACAAAACAACGATTGACCAGTCACTTTCAAACTGTTAGTTTCGTCTCACAAAGTGATCGATCAATACATTATTTCACTCTGTTAAAAAAGAAATATGCTGGGAGAGGTTCATGTAATCAATGTTTTTAGAATAAGGAGCCGAAAAGCGATCGTAGATTGTTAGCTGTAAAGAAGAGTGCATCAAAGTACTTACAATTTGTGAGATTGCGAGCCTTTTCCTGAGTTTCATTTGACCTGATCCAGTGTATGGATGCCACGCCCTTGTTCCACAGCTTTGTAGTAAACCACTGTGATTCAGCTAAGCGTCTGGCAGCTTTCGTTGTGCAAAACGACGTTTCCTAAGTAAAAAAGGAAGATATATTCGATTCAAGAATAAACTATAACCTTAAATAGATTATTCCTTGAGTGTATATTACTTTGAGTAAAATTCATCGTAACGTTGAACAATTTTGGCCGAGTCGCCCCAGGTTAGTCCTCATTCCGAGTTCACTCTAAAACAAGGCAAAGATCGGAATTGCAATTGTAATTATTACAAAAATTGTCTTGACCAGAATGTCTAGTTTAACATTAGTCATTTCTATCGTTGCAAATCTCGATATGACGGTGAAAAGCTGCGTTCAGATCGAGCAAAAACACTAACAGCAACAAATCATTATAATCAAACTTAGGTGGTATTTATTTCCTCGGTTAAAAGATTTGAAGTTACAATGCAAAGGTTTTTTGACAATTTATTAAAGGAAAAACTTGCAGGGATTTTCGTATATATCCTCAGTGTAATGCAATATAACAAACGACAAAAAAATACTTACCGGGCCAGTTTGATTTATCTCTGACATGCATATCTCAAACACGTTGACTGGTACATCTGCCAGTCGCTGATACTGTGGTCGTTTTGCCGTTTGCCGGGGAACACTGCTGGGCTTACGCAAGCCAACAGACACCAAACCTCTGTTCCACAGCCTTACAATGAACCAGCTTGAGTCTACTGATGGACTAGATTCTTTGGCACAAATTTCCTTTATCAAAAGAAAGAAGCACAATTAACTGAAAGAAAATTCAAAAAATACTAAATCTGTATATGTAAAAATATAAAGAGCCAGGCCTGCCCAATGGAAAAAACTGAAAACAGAAAATCGTATCTCTTCTTTCTCCATGTTTTACGGATAACGAACTGTTATTTCCGAGACAGCCGGGGCTCTTAAAGTTAGCGAAACCCTACTATCTCTGCAAGCTTTTCAAGGTATCTTAGTATAAGGGATGACTTGTTTCATACAAAGGTCTCGAGTGGGACACACATCTAGATCTCTGTACATCTTTTGCTTCTTTCTGCTAGAGGTTATAACGGGTCTAAAAATTAACAATTTTCAGAGTACGTTCATGGAATTATTTTTTTGGGAAAACTAATTGTTGGTGCCACAAATGTAGACCGCTCATTGCTAACTTTTGCACTCGCTTAAAGTCTTCCGTTACAAACACGTATCCTGTTCAAGTCACTAAATGAATATAAATACGGGAATTGCATACGCTGAAAACAGACCCTGAAAACCATACCCTGTTCCGTAGTACATACCTGTTTAGGCCATATTAAGGGTACCCCCTCCCCTTAGATGAAAGTATCACTTACCGGACCAGTTGGTTTTGAGGCTTTTAGACACATCCTTGAGACATTAACTGGTGACACTTTTGCCGTCCATTTGTCTTGTTTTCTCGTCATTGTTGTCGCCTGGAGAGATACGGCGCTGGATTTCATACCACATCCTACAATATCAGCGCAATGATTCCATATCCTTGTTGGAAGCGAAGAGGTTTCAGTTAAGCGGCTAACAGCCTTCCTTGTGCAGCGTTTTGTTTCCTAAGAATTTGATATAAAATGAAAATTGTAGACAGAAAACTTATAATGAGTAAACACGAGAAATACACAGTAAGAAATAGATATTAAAAAGACGAACCACAAAATACCGTAGGAAATACAATACGGGGTTGTTGAAGGTTTTTATAATTAGAATTCAAAATTTAAACATTTTTTAGATTTTTTGTTGAATATTTGATTTTGGCCCCGAAATGTGAACGAGATTGAGAACCGGGCCCTTGGACCAATAGTACACGCGCAAGCGCTTGTGGGATTGGGGAATATAATAATCATTGTATCTGGTAGAGAGAAGCCCTGTGAATTGCATGTGGTGCTAAACTCGGCACTATCGAGATACTCCCTCGATCTTGTGGCAAGAGGGGCTCTTGCGGTGAATTTGTTACTAAAATCCTAGCTCTAATAAATCAAAGACATTTCCAGACTATTGGTCCACTGGTAGGTCAAATCAATGCTCGAAACACCGGACCCCAGTATATCAAGACTTATACTTTGTTGCTTACCAGGCCACTTTGATTCAAACCAGTGAGGCAAATCACAGACTCATCTATGACTTGTTTGGTCATCCACCTACTCTGGGATTTCTTCGCAACTGAACCTCGTAGGAATAAAATATCTTGGTATGGGGTAGCCAGGAAAGGTAAATCGTTAATATGTCCTTCAAGGTGTTCCTGTTCAATCCTGCACACTCCACTGTGAACCTTTTTCAACGGGGAAGCACCAGTTTGATCTTGATTAGATGAAATAAGTGTACCAATGACCATTTTAACATTATCACTGTGTTCATCTGCTTTCTCTGAGCGATTGGTTGTTTGGTTTTTTGTGTCAACCAAATCTGACAAGGTTTCATTTCTCAAGGTAGATTGAGGTTCATCCAGAAGAGCAAAGGTTCCAATCTCAGTGTCCTTCTGCTGCAATGCAAGCCCGTTTGCCTTGGGATGAGGTTTCTCAATAAAATACGTTTCCAATGCAGACGAAAATTCATCATCCTCACGGTTAAGGCTCGTAACGGTATCATGGCCCGAGTCAGAGTCGCCAAGAAACATAACGTCATCGTTTTCTTGTCTGTTTGATGAACGGATTTCAGGGTGAAAACCAGAGAAGGGCGAGGAAGTAAATTTTGGAAGTTCAGATGATTCATCCTTACTTAGTTCTTCACTGTCAGAATGACCCATAAATATCACGATTGGTTCACGGCGTTTATTTTCGTTGATTTCATTCACCTCCCTTTCAGCCTTGCTAGACGACGCGGTAACATTAGCATCTCTGTTCTCCAGGCTTGTAGCTGGCAGGGTTGTGTTAACTTTACCGTCCTCAGACTTCTTAGAAAGAGACTTGCTGCCAGACTTGCTGTCAATCAGTGTCATCACCTGAATACTGGAAGCCACCGGGCAAGTTGTCGGATCCTTATCAGTTATGTCCATGAACATGCTGTAATTCACAATCTAAAAGGACGATAAGAATGTGAAGAATGTATCGTTAAGCCCTAATTGTCCACGTTACGCTTTTGTTTTTACTTAATTAGCCTGCGTGACAGGCGCCAATTTTTATTTAAAATGGATGCTGGGCTTAAACCTTGGGAACTAAGGGGCGAGCTTATTCGCTATTTTCACATAGACCATAATGCACCTTGTTTACCCCCCAAAATATTGCATAACCATTGCTTCCAATTTTTCCTGGGTGTAACAGTCGTCCCATGAGAAATCAAAACTGATTTGGGGCGAGAGGGGGTTAAACAACGTGCATTATGGTCTATGTGAAAATGGTGAATAAACGAAAGTTTACATATACTAATGAAGCCCGACTTCACGCTTCTGCAGCGTCTTCCTTAAAGAATTGCAGGCCAGTCCGACGAGTCTGGAAAGGCGAGTAGAATCTCAAAAGTTTGGCTACATTTTTAAGCCTTTGGGTATCTGCTATTTTAGCCTTAATTATAACTATAATAAAATTTGGCTGCAATTAATCGGCCATTTACAACCCTGTTTTCAGCATCAATAGGACACTTGCGCAATCCCAACTATTAACGCTTACTGTCCAATACAATTTGGTAGTGAAATGTTTTTGGTGGAAAATTCGTTCCTTAATTAAAATATATATGATTATGTTGCTTCTAATTCCTTGCGCTGACACGAAATGCTATCCGGTAGAGTGGGAAGACGGTGAACACCTATGCCGCGATTTGTAACTCTCCGACTTTAAGGATCGGCGGGGCGCAGTTTCGCTCCGTTAAGGTGATGTTACACGGGACGATTTTTAGTACAACACAGCGTTGCAATGCTGGAACAATATTGCAACCATTCGAGACAATGTTGCAACAATGTTGCAACGCTGTGTTGCGCTAAAAGTCGTCGTTGCGAATCGTCTCGTATAAAATCGCCTTTACAGAAACAGGGCCGAAATCACCGTTTGTATCAGTGTGAACAGAAGCCTTGTCCAGTATGGTTTTCGCGCCGGCGCAAAAGCTATCCGGTATTAATAGTAATGTGGACATTAAAGCCAAACTTACGCCGTCTGTCGGACAAGTAGAATCCGATGCAGTAACTGTCCTGTGAGCAAATGCGTCTGAGTTTATGTCCTTCGGCCACTCGATACCAATGTATAGCCATTTCAAAACCCAGTCCACGGCATTTAAGAAACTGTTCCACGCTGGTGCTAACCATGTGGAGTTGTTTCCTGCCGCATCTCGCCGGAAGGCCATGGTTGTTCGTGGCGGTTGGTTTGTGTCAACCATATCTATTTGTTGTTCCTCGTCCATTTCCGTCTGCAGAAAAGAGAGACAAACCGTCATTGACTTATATTAGCCTAATAACAGCCTACCTTTTGCGTTTCCCCTCGCAAAATTATATCTGTCTCGGAACGAGCGCTAATATTTTATCAAAACGATTGCAACTTTGTTGAAAGCCGTCGTTTACGTTGTGAAACACTAGCACCGTTTGCTTTTCTTTTTATATTGCACTTCTTTACTTTGCTCTATACTTACTTCATTTGCAAAGGTTTTTCCAGGCAAATAAGCTGTTGTAAAACAGCTGATTTTCCGGTTAACTGAGTTAACCGTCACGGAGACAAGCATATCAATCGACGTCAGGTGAACTTCAATTACAGCGCTCTTGCTTCCAAAGTCTTCAACAACGGTGAAGCGTCGATGGAACGGTTCTTCAGCGACGTTGACTCCTGCATTAGGATGCAATCGAAAGCGCATAAATATATTAAATTCATTTAAAGCGCTCAAATGCGGCTGATCAGTATAAACCGAGTGAAGGTATGTGCTAATACTTAAATTGAGGCTTAAAATCCTACGTCTACAACTAAAATTACAACAAAGCTGTTAAAAAAGCTTTGAAAAGTGTTTTTAAACTTTGTGAAAACAAATAACGGAACTTGACGTCGTAAGTAACTTCGATTGCGCGCGCCAGAATCGCTTTCGATCCATAGAAACAAGTAACCAAGGAAACAAATTATCTAAGCAAATAACAGTTTTTTCAACTGGTTAAGGCCAAGAAGATGGCATTTCACGACAACCAGATAAATTAAATCCTAAACAAATTAAAGAAGCTCTAAGACTTTTGAATAAAATGTTGGCGCAGTGGTTTTATAACTTAAAGGCAAAAGCAAAGTTAGTCTTTTCTGAGAAAATAACGATTTTCGCGCGTGACCTGTACTGTTGCTACAAGCTTACGCCATCGAGGAAAATAACGCGAAGAGAGCAGATGTGAAAATAACACAAGTTTTACCTTTCTCGCTGACATTTCCCGAAGCAGTCGAAGTTCCTAACACTGTTAGGAGGAAACTTATGAAGAATAAAAACGTTTTCATTTTGTCAAAAATGACTTTTCTCTTTCCAAAGCGCAACACGACTAAACTCGTTTAGCGACATGGAACGATTAAAAACCAGACGTCATAAAGACAAAATAGAACGTTTTCCTGCGCGCGTAAAGTTTATGGAACACTCCTTTATCCTTCTATATAAAGCACTACATTGACAACAATTGCAGCTGTTCATTTTGTTAATAACAATGGCACGTAAAACGCTACTCTAAAGGCTACATTTAAGCTAGAGTTGATTTTTCCGGATTCGTCCAAGAGCATGGAAACTTCAGATACCGGATTCGTTTTATAGTTTACACGCAGATCCCCAACGCGGGGCACTAACTGACCTCATCTGGCCTAAGTGGGCTTGTATCGCTGCATGAACAGGGTATGGTTTTCTTTCAGAATCGTGAGTCTACGAATTAGGGTAATAAAATAAGGTCTCTTTCGAACAGGGTCAGTTGCAAAATGAACGTTTTTTGTCTTTAACAGGGTCATAGTTTGAAGGCGCGCCTCGGCGACACACCTCCACCAAAATGTTCCTTGAGTGCCCGCAGTCCCCGGAACAGAGGGTCTCAATGGCAGTAGACCTGCACAGTTCTAAACCTCTTATTATCAGTGGTCCCCTTTAATCTGCACTTCCATTGTTTTCAGGGATAGGGGCATTGTTTTGTGAGAATCCCTATTGTTTTCCCAGCTAATCAAAAACAATCTTTCAAATAGGTGCGGGATCCCCCCTCAATGGGGTGGTAGCTTTGACGGTTGACGGTTAATTTTTTACCAATTTTGACTGTTGACGCGAGTTAAATTTTAAAACTTTTAACAGTTGACGGTTATTGATTCCAAGATTAGAGATTCTTTAGGAGCCACTGAATCCCGTGAAGATCAGCTGAAATAATGAGATTTGAAATACAGTCAAACCTCGTAAAGCGGACACTGGGGAGACATAGAAAGTGTTCATATTAACGGGGTATCCGTATTTAGCGGGTCAAAACACCTTTTATTTGAAAAAAATACCCGGCGGGCACTTCCTTATAAGAGGCTAATGGGGACCGGATGTGTCGCTGGATATGGTCGCATTTTCACGACCGGGATTGACTATAATGGGGTCGCATTTTCAATAGAGTTACTAGAATGGGGTCCCAAGTTCTCGATTTTTGGGCTAAGAAAGTTCTTCATGCATATTTGCGGTTAGAAAACGTACCAGAATGTTTGTAATCTAGGTGAAAAAAAGTGAGGTTATCTTCATTCAATTTAAAAAATGGCTCAATTTATTTTAGGATGACGGTAGATACACAAATAGAAAGTGACTAAGTTGGGATCCCGAAAATTACATATCATTGTTTGCCCACAAGTGACTAAGATGGGGTCTACAGCTGGCCACAGAATGGACCATAATGGGATAGGGGCTCAGATAGCGGCACATACCCAGCAAAAATTAACCCAAGTATCCCCCTCCGGGACAAAATAATAATGAAGTACGGTTAAGTTCCCATACTAGCGACCCTCGTTACTTTCGGGGTGTCGTTACTCTCGGGGAGTAGTTATTTTTGGGGACCAAAAACCAACATCAACGTCGATGGTCTACCGGACTACCGAATGGGTGAATCAGCCGATGTAGAGGAAATCGAATTCTTCTGTCACTCGGGGCGAGGAAAGCTAAACTCAGCGCTTTTAGTCCATGACAGAAAAATGCGTTTCATGCAGTCAGGAGATCTCCTGATGATGGGCTCTTGTCATTGTGCAGTATACAGAAGTTTCAGTTTTAACCGTTAAGAAACGTTCCTGTTCTTGATATGAGCGTTTACATCAGTGTGCCATCTGTGAACTGACGTCAACGACGAATGATAGTTTCAGACATGCCATGTTTTCCTTGTTGTAAAGTTCCTTTTCGTGATAAATTTGTAAATGCACGAAGATCAGTTAGTAATTGAAAAAACTTAGTCTCGATACTCTTTGGAGACTCACTACTTTCGGGGAGTCGCAACTTTCAGGGGCTCGCTAATTTCGGGATTTATTAGAAGTCAGAAACTTTTGACGTTACTTTCGGGGCGTCGTAACTTTCGGGGGGTCACTACTACGGGAACTTTACGGTAATAAAACAGAACATTAGCATCGTTAAATTAAACATCCACTTCAGAAACAAAGCCGGCGTTCCTCGGCTTAAATCCAGGGAAAGACTCAAAAATATTTCATCTATACATTAAACCTCATGCATAATTAAATCATTTGATACCAAAATTAGTCTGAAATTGACGTCCACAAATCATCCTATTCAATAGTACTGTAGCGTTGGGAATATCGACACACTGTCGACAGGCTGTAAGCAGCAGGCT